TTTAAAGTAGCAGCAACAAAAAAACTGTATTTCAAATCCACTTGCATGGGCAGCATCGAAGCTAGTTGGAAATAACAAACTTGTATAGAACCAATCAAACTTTGCTAAACTTTTCACCACAATTTTGAAGTGTTTACTTTTAAAACGGGAGTCCCCATGTTATTTTAATATTAATAACAAATTTCTTAAACATTTACAGTTATCGTCTATTTTTTAGCTACATTTTTTTCGAACTGTACAAGATTATTAAGCACTGATAAAAGTACATGTTCCATTAATAAACACTGATTTAGCATTAAATGTGGTCTAAAAGCACCAGCATTTTGTGGAAATTTTGAAGTGAAAGTTGCCATTCATTAAATATATGACGATTTCAGTTGAATGAACTTTCAAAGTAAACCATACTACCCTTGGTTATGGAGGAAGAGAATTTAAATATAGTAGTTATATGAAACAAGTAAAAAAATATATTTTTCCCCAAATTAAAATGCGATTCTCTTGTCTCCTAAAAAGTTTGAAAGCCACTACTATTAGGAGTTATTTTTCAGTCCTATGTGCATTTTAAAACCAGAGTAATTATTATTGTTATTATTATTAGTATTATCTTTTATCAAAGTTACCATCCAGTGTTATTTTATTTTCTATCAAAGGATGTTATTTTAACACTACAGTATCCCTGTCTAGTTTTTATCTTTTGAGGACCCCCTCCCCCTCCCCCTTAACACTCTTAAGTGTCTGGAAAACACAAAGAACCGTAAAAAAATTCACAGTCTAAAAAAAATATGTATAACACACTATGTTTTCGTTTTAACGTGTTAATAAAAATCAAAAAGGCACAACATATAAAAGAAACGGCTTATTTACTGCACTTGATGGTAGTTCCACATCGGTGGTTTATACTGCTCTATATCATGAGGTTTATTTCCTCTACTTAACTCTTTTCCGGTATAAGGATTCCGTATGTAACTAACCTTTGGTTTTGTAGGCAGGAATAAAATGAATAATGAATGTATATCCTTTCTTCTGACAGCATAAAATAGTTAATTGTTTAAAATAGGTCATCCATTTTTGCATTTGTGATTTGTTACGTATAGATTGGCAAGATAAAAATATTACGTAAAACAAACAAACATTTTATAGTTCCGTAGTTTACCGTCAGAACAATGATTTGAGAACAGAACAATGAACTGAGCTGTTTAAAGCTAAATAAAATGTTATAAAACACATTTTATTAGCCTTATAATTTTTTCGATTACATTAATTATTTTTAAACCTAGATTAGGATCTCCATTTACCATCTGGTATTACATGACTTCTTGTATTTTTTCCACAGAAAACTACCATTTTTACTTTACAACTACCATAACAGCTAAGACAACTAAGAGTCATTGACGAACCTACGGATTTGAACCAGTTTTCTCCAGGACAGAAGTACTGTGCAAACTGAATACACCACACCACTAAAGAAAACTTCGTGAAAAAATCGTTCTACAATTGAAGAATTCAAAATAAAAATAAAAATGATTAAACTACTTGTTTGTACATTGTTTGGCGTACAATAGAGACGAGGCAGTGAGTAGAACTTGTTGGGTTGGCTGATTAAACTGCTCTCGTATTCTGCTCACTTCTCGTACATTACAAATACCTACAGACCTTGGCTATCAGTCATGAGCAAAACGCCTATACACATCTTCAATCATATGAACGTATTTCATTTTGAATATTATGACAAAAGGTAATGTAGAAACATTCCTTAATAGTGTTGGTCTTAGATATTGCCATATAAATGAAGTGGATGTGTTGAAAAACATATTGTTAGTCCGATCTGCATAAAAGGTTAAATGATAATTTAGGGTCTAAGTGTTTTTAAATAAATTAAAATTCTGTTCCACTTGGTAAGTAATACGTTAGATTTTGTAGACACACGCAATGTTTAAATTCAACTAGAACTATAATTATTAATGGTGGAAAAGTAGTCTGCCTGTTTATAAAATAAAATAATAGTATGCTTAGGTATAAGGCATTATTCTAGATGTTAAATTCATGAAGATCTATATAGTTTTCATAACTTTCGAATATTTTTTACACGAGGTTTAGGAAACTGCCCAAAAAATTTATGGATACCAACAAATATATATTAAAGTATGTCGAGAAGATTAAGCTTGTTGAGCTCCCTTGCTTAAAACATTTATCAGTGTTTTCATTATGATATGGCAGTAATACAAGTAACGTATAGGTCTCATTGATAAATATAACCGTTGAACTTAGCTGTGTTTTGTCAAATATATTTTAAATAAAAAATAAATCTGCAACATAAATGAAATATAAATATGAAATGAATTTATCGAAGATAGATCAATAGTTATATATTCAGAATGTTAAATTCCGATGAAAATAAGACATCTGCTTTATCATGATATTTACTTTAATGCCATCGGTACTGTTATTTTATTGTTTAAAGAGATGCTGAATTACATATTTTAGTGCCTAATATATATTTATATTATATTTCATATATTATATATAAAAAGATACATTACTTTACACCCACAGTATATGGTATTTTTTCTACCTCCTGACTTTTTAAAATAATTCTTCAACATTTTTTATCCCAGAATTGTTAATATTTTCCTTATATTTGTAATTGGCATTTTTCTTAAATTACCTATTTTATTTTTACATAGCTTGGAATCATTAAAATGCATATTTACAAAACGCTTAAGGCCTCACTATGAACAGTATTATACTAAAAGTAAATATACATTAGTTCAACAAATTAAACAACCCCACAGCAGCAAATAACTGATTATTGAATTTCCGTCTACCTAAAAGGATTTTTACTAAGATATTTCCTTTTTTTAAATTTTCTCTGTTAAAATCAGACGATTTCTATCTTAAAACATTACAACAAATTTTAACAAAACAACAGGTTGCCTGAAGTCATACGTCATTCTAAGTTTTGTTGCACAGTAGAAACTCAAAGCATCATATGGTGATCCATCACTTCTAATGCGCCTGTAATGTCTTACAAAGACTGATATGGAAATACATAATATCCGGGAAATATAAACTTTGCTGCTTGCAATTCGTTTTTACACAATCATGTAATTTAATTGAAATAATTACATCAATTTAATTGAACTGAGACTCAATGTTGTTGTGCATATAGAATACTAATTGACATGTATTTATTGTACTCTATGGCATGACTGATGTCTAGAAAATAAAGTTAGTAGGCGTACTGCATTTTTAAATCACGCTTTTACGTTGTTAGCACTGTAATCCCTCGTCTTAATACATCTTATATTTAAAAACAAGGTATCAAGCTGGATAAAATAAATGACAAAACATATTAAATAAATTTTTGCTCAAAGCAAGTTAGAAACTTTGTTTTTTATCAAGAAGCTGAATTCAACATAAACTTAAATTGCATTTTTTTTATAGCTACAATATAATACACTTTTCGATAAAAATAGGACAGACAAAGATTCAAATGTTGTAAAAAAAGTATTCCACGTAATAATAATCAACAAAGACCAATTTAACCTTTCTTATATCAGGCATTCCATAGAACGTTGAAGTCTGCCGGAACGACAAAGTTAATCACTTGAAACTTTCCTAAAGTACTTGAACTTTCTAAGCTCATGCATGGATAAATTATGTAACTAAATGAGCCTAAAATAAAATTTTCAAAATTCGCAATCCTAACAAATAAGAGTAAACTTAAAGTTACAATACGAGTAAACTACGTAAATTCAAGTACTTATTACATTTTTTTAATGTATATAAATTCGCCAGAGTTTTTAACAGCTATTTACATTTATTTCATAGCAAACTTAATATAAAATATTTAAATTAAGGGCTGGTGTCAGGGACACGTTATTTTTTAAATATATACAATTTAATAATGTAAAATGTATTTACCTCTTCTATTTTTTGCAAAACCAATATGGAATTATTAAGTGTTAAAAGTGTACCACTAGTAACACTTTTATGTACGATTGAAAAAGAGTATTGAAAATATAAGCACGAAAGGCAATAAGAACCACTCTTTCATTGCGTGGAAACATCAATCAGCATTTTCCTTTGATACTAATTGATTTGCGTAAAAAAATGTAAAACCTTCAAAATAGACTTGTTTCATAAGTCCATGCTATGCAATATCCACTCGTAGGTTTTCAGGAAAAACTGATTTAATATTTTACATGTTGGCAACACTTCTATTCTTGGCCATTGTAAAATTAACACTCATAATTGAAATACTCTTTTCTTTTGGAAACTCTTGCACTCTAATTCAATACATAAATGATCATTTAACCGTCAAGGGCCAAGCTTAACTACTAAACTCTCTTAACACAACCTAACAGGACAGAAAACATGGTAATTCTGTGTCTTCTGAGTAATGTAGAGAACAAACACAGTACGAAAACTTGGAGATACAAAACCCAACTAATGATAGCTAGGCTTAGAATTTAATACGTACGTAAACTAGGTAAGAGGGAAAAGGAGGTGGTGAGTAAACTGATACCGACGGTCACAGAATAATTATATTGCTTGTTTACTGCTTAAGAGCAAACAATTCTAGTCCTGGTTGTTGTTAGGTTATATTTCGTATAATAGTTTGATGTAAAAGAGAGAAGAATACATTTGAATCACTGATGGATATGCCTAATAGCTTAAGAGCCAAAGCCTGGATCGAATCAGTGAGTTGAAAAAGGTACCTAAGTCAAAAAAGTGGCCATTTTGATAAGTCATCGATTTTGAATTCTTAGGGGTAGACACAAGTCTGAGTGCAAAAAGGGACCTCATTCAAGCATTACAAATGTTATATTTACAGCACACTTTTACGTGTTGAGAGGCAAAAGGTACCTCAGTCAGTGACTCAAGTACGTTTTACTTCTCAACTCCGCTTTGTACTCTGTGTTCAGAAGACAGTCAGCTGTCCGTCCGTAGTTTCTTTCACAGTAGCCTAAGCTGTATTATTGTTGATTGATACATTGTGAAGGTTAGTTGTTAGGTTATTGGTATTCCTTGTGAGTTTGAACAAAAAATATGGAAGAGGGCAACCAAAAGCGAGGGAGGAAAAGAAAAAAGAATCCAGAAAATTATAGGAGAAATATAATTAAAGAAAAAATACTTAGAGGACAAGAGTATGTTGGCCACAATGGGAGACTTAAAAGAGCCAGAGGCGTCTCATCACCATGCAGGTACTTAAGGATTGCAAACTTAAAACATCTTTAGGCCTAGTACCTTTATTTACTGTAGTTTGAACTCTAAATAATTTCTTACTGTTGAAAATATTTGACTAAGCTATCAGCTGGGACCACATTTTAGGTAGCATAGGGCTAGTACTACAAGCCTATATTTTAGGCCTAGTGCTAAAATATACATTCCTATTTTATAAGACTAGGTTATTATGACACATTAAACATCATTAAAACTACCTTAGACAGACTATGAACCTATTTTGTTCATGCATTTAGCGTATAAATAGCATAGGCCTTACATAGCCTACATCATTTTAATTTGACATCTCAGATTCTGTTAGGTTTCATTCTATTACATAACCTAACACATTTTACTAGTTTAGAATGCATATTGATTGCTATATGTAGGTTAAGGTTGATTATTTTAAATTGCATCGTATTATGTAGACTTCGTTTATTGTTGTTTCGGCTGCAGTTCCGTATACGCCTGACGGAACAATCAAAATTAAATAATATCGATTTATTATATCGGGTTGGGCTAAGTTAGGTTAAGTTAGGTTAGGTCGACTGTTATAAAACATCGATTTTTTCATTTGTTTGTTCCAGCATGGGCGTGTACCGAACTACAACCGTTATTTCTTCCTATTTAGGCTATTCAGTGTAGTAGCGTTGATGTTTACGTCTTGCCCTTTTCACTGGTGGCTATCCGATTTCAACACCTCTATGTGTTTCTGTACTGTGTCTTATATTGCTTGCTTTATTTCCAGATGTCCAAAAAGGTGCTTCGAACAATTTGATGAAGCTGAAAGAGCTTTGATTTTTGATTCGCTTTACAAGTTGGATAGTAAGAACGAACAAGATCTTCACTTACAAAGAATGATTGAAAAACATGATGTCAAACAAAGAAGACCAAGGAAGGGAAATGAATCCAAACAGTATGACAGTTCATTTAAATATTATGTACTTCTCCAAGGTAAGAAGATTCAAGTTTGTAGAAACGCCTTTTTCCGACTATACGATGTCACTGACAAAAAAATCAGGCGTATTAGAAATTTATTAAAAGCCGGGGAATCTCCTAGGGACATGAGAGGGAAAAAAAGCCCCTCTAACAAGAAAACACCTGATGTTCTGAAATTGATTCATGATCATATCGAATCATTCCCAGTTAAAAAAACACATTATGCAGCAAAAGAATACCTTTACTTGTCTTCAGAACTCACCGTTAATAAAATGTATGAGCTCTTTAATGAAAGGTTTCCAAGTGTTGGTGTCAAATACGAGTTTTATCTTAAGTATTTTAATGAGAACTTTACATTAAAATTCGGTAAGCCCCAAATAGACACCTGTGCCTACTGTGAGGAACGTCAAGTTAAATTGAAAAGCCCTCATATTAATGAAAATGCAAAGCGTGTTGCCACTGCAGAGTTAATGGTTCATCGCAGGCGCGCTAAGCAATTTCACAAAGCTCTTCAAGATACAACAAAAATGTCTGAAAATAATGAAAAAGTCGTTGGCCTTGTATTTGACTTTATGCAAAACATTGAGCTACCAAAAATCCCGGTGCAAGACGTATTTTACTTGCGCCAGTTAACCGTGCAAGTTTTTTGTGTTTACAATACAAAAACTAAACTTTCACATTATTATGTTTATCATGAAGGAAAAGCACACAAAGGAAGTAATGATGTTACTTCATTCTTAATGGATTATATTAGTACACTCCCTAGCCAAGTTGAGGAACTTCACCTTTTTTCAGATAATTGTTGGGGTCAAAATAAAAACCACACATTATCTAAAGTTTGTCTTGCTTTGTGTGACTTGGGTAGGTTCAAAGTTGTGAAGCAGTTTTACCCATTGCGAGGACACTCTTATAATCCTTGCGATAGAAGTTTCAGTATGATCAAGAGGCCAATAAGAAAACAAGACAGAATTTACACTCCAAAGGAAGTTTGTGAATTAATAGTTAACTCTTCCAAGAAATCTCCATGTACAGTAACCTTAGTCGAAAGCGATTTAATTACTGACTATTCCAAATGGTGGCCTACGGTATATAAAAAGACAGCCGTATCAAACGAAACCAAAACCTTGCCTCGTCAAGAGAAACAACATTTTGTTATTTCCAAATTTTATTATTTCCAGTACTCCTATTTGGAAAAAGGTACTGTCAAAGCAAGTATGCATATAAGAACGGGAGATTTTCAGACACTGCATACGTTTAACTTGCGAAAGGGCCTGTGCCTCGCCCTACCAGATACAAAAGCTTATCCGAGGGGTTTTGTTCCCATTAAAAGAAAGAAGATTGTTGATTTGAGAAGATTGTATAGTTACATTCCAAACGAACACATCCAATTCTATGATGAAATTCTAAACTGGGAAACGACGGACGAGCAAGATAACATTGAGTGAAGTACGAAGAGTAAAAATCCAGAACTTTAAACTGGCAAAATACTTAATTTTGCACATAATATCTGTCAGTAAAGTACATGAAATCCTTGTAAATAAAAGTGTTCCTTTAAAATGTTTTTATTGACCTTTTTTAGTATGGTGTAAGAAATCTTGGTAAAAAAACTTGACTTGAGAGCAAAAAGGGACCTCAGTCAAAAATTTATTAAATTTTTTTCATTTACATAACTCATAAAAAATGGTAGTTTTGTGTTGTTATCTCTTTTGTAGTACTAAAAATAATATTCTCAATTTTTTATGCATTTATATTTTTGTTAATGCAAAACTTATACAGTTTTTTTACGTTTACCGAAAGTTGCGAAAATTGACTCGGGTACTTTTTTCAACTCACCATTTACCATGAAGGACAAGTAAGAGGCGTGGCGAAAATTCAGGTATGTAATACAAAATTGTTATATATCAAACAGCTTTGGTGGTCAATGACCAAGAATAATATATTTGAGTCGTAACAGGCAAAGATACCCTAGCAATAAGGAGTATTCTAACATGTTAAACACATTGAGGTCCGGGGAGTTTATTAATCATATAAGACACAGCTGTCTGTCTAGTATGTGTATGGGTATGGGTATATCACCGTGCCTAATACTGTATGTAAACTCCAACTGAAACCTTGGTAATAGGGTAGGTATGAAACCGGAATTACCCTCGAAAAATATTTCGTACCTTGAAACACTTGTAAAACTATTTTCCCAACAGGTTTTTTAATACTATCCTATCAAGTTTACTTTTTTACTCTTCTCAGTTGTACTTCTACTCATAAATCATTCGAGTATGTTCCCTACTATCTGGCTGCAGAGATATCACGATAATCACGATAGTAAAATACGTCGTCCGTAACTCTATATGGTGCTTTCCTGTTAAAGGGAACATTCATTATTATCGATGATTTCTATCTATAGGAAAAGTATAATGTGCAACTCGAGTTCAAAGTACAATTGCCTCACTCGAGAAACCATTCCTCACTCGTTTACGGCTCATGAGTAAGGATTTCTCTCGAGTGAGTCAATTGCTCACTTTTCTCACTAGTTGCACAAATAACTATTATATAGAACTCGTAATTACCAAAGGTTTAATTTTTATTTCCTGATTAGCGATAGTAAATTAAATCGTAATCTTTGTTATAAAGAACTCGCCTTTGGAGGGAAAAAGCAAGATCTCGATTGAACCATTTAGTACGATACAAGGCGACCAATTAGTTGTAGAGAAGGATTGGTTAAATTTACGCCACAGCAATAAAGAGCTGTAATTAATTCTTTGCAGTTTGTTTTGGATTTCAACCGTTTTACAAAATTACTGTAATTTATCAGTCTTTTATTATTAAATTCGTTTCAATTTTATTTCTTGGATTAAAAAAATTTTCTTAAACACCTGGGCATTTTCTTTATCCACTACTATATACAATTAAACACCCCAATGGTATTAATATTGTTACTAAAATGATATACTTTAATCGGAACAAGTGTTGTAAAATTTCCTTTTGTAACTGATATGATTTTAATTATTTATAAAATAAATTATATGTTCTATTGGGCAAAATGTACAAGTAATTTCAATAAAGACCTTGTGTCTGCCTATTTATGTCCTAACAAATTTAACTGTTCAATGAAGATTGAAAGATAATAACAGTTTATTAGCATAAAATAGAAAGTACAGAATCAGTTATAGTAAAATGACTATTAAATAGAGAAAAAAAATCAAAGTTATGCAAAGCAAAATTTATATATTTGCTTAATTCAGGCTTTGAATAAGAATATGATTATAACTCTAAACCAGCTAAAACATTGGGTTTTTTACTCCAATTTGTGTCAAAAAGTTTAGTATCTTTACGAATATGACTAAATTATCTAGTGGACAGTTAAAACAAATGGAAATTCAATACATTTCGACAAGAAAAGATATTGAATAAAACATTAGCTTGCTTAAGAGAGCAATAATAAAATCCCCAGAAAGATTGACATTAATATATTAATTCAAAGATACAAAGATAAATCCAATAGTGACAGCAAGACCTGTTCAGTTCCGGTCTGAAAGCTTTTCCATGTCAGCTCAATGGTCTGAAACTAGTTAAATGGAAATGTCTTAATGGCCTTTGTTAGATGAACAGAACTCATAACAACTGTCTTCAGACACATCTTATACTTGATCAAAAAATACCGCAATCGTTAAATAATATGTGTTACAAAAAAGGTTTTGCAATAAATTACTTTTATTTAAAATACACTCTTTACGCTGTGCTACTGATATTTATAGTCTTTTTTTATTATTTACCTACTTGTGTTGATGAAGAATCCACTTATACATCTACTTATACGACCAAACACGTAATCGGTAACAATATTAAGTTCTCGTGAAACAATCTGGACTATTATAACGTGGGTAGGGCTTTTTAAAACTTATTTATTTATTGACGGAATTAGATTAAAAGTACGCTATAATTAACTCTAACTCGTGGATACACTCACACTACTCCTAGTAACTCTAGGATAAAAAATAAAAACTACTAATGTGTAAAATAGAATAACTGTGTTACAGAGTTTCGTAGTTATTGCTTATAAATGTCTTTAATGTAAAGAGCTATGATTTTAAAAATGTTATCAAGATCTTTCTCTACAAACTTAAGGTATGCAGAAGAAACCCGTAAAACTAATGAAAATCATAATTAATCAATCATTGTTGAAGCATAAGGAGATGTCAAACTGGTAAGGGATAGTTTATTGCATTTGGTTAAGAACAAAAAAAAAAAAATTAAGGTGATACAGTTAATACTGCAAAATACCAAATGGATAACTTTTCCAGTGTGCGTGATTATCAAAGTTAAATTTAACACATTACCTTGATAAAACTATTATAACGTGATAATGAACGGCCATGTTTTCAATAAAATATCCAATTTCACTTTGAGGAATTTGTTCATTAAGCACACTTTGGAGTGGTTTAAATGCTGGCTACAATATTCTTTTTGACTTTGCAATTTTAACTATCTAAAACCCTTGAAAGAACTGTTATTATAAATAATTTAAATATTGTAGCCTCACAGTTACAAGTTCTGCTTTTAATTTGTGTCATTGGACTGTACAAGCCTATTTATTAAAATTGCTTTGGACCTTTTTCAAACATCACATTAAGCCTAAACCAATAATTACCTGTTAACATCCCTAACATTATGTTAACAATAGACATCAATAGATCATTAACATCGTGTAAATTAATAGATCTCACAAGTTCATATCTTACTTTCCAAAAGTACTTTACTTTACACGATACCTTCTCTGGAAGACCAACCCCCCACCACCGCACCGTGCCGAACGCTTCCGAATCACACCGAAAATAGCCGGGGTCTTTTTGAATTCCTTGTGTCATCTCTCTGGTAACGGGACAACGGAATTGAACTCGGAACGGAACATCGCAGCAGTTTCTTCCAATCCCGAGCCTCCTTTAAACACTGATAGGAACGGAGTAGCCGATTAACGATGTTATGCAATTAATTATCCTATCATAAATTATTTGTAGACTAGTTTAAAAGATACAAATACCTAGTATACAAGTCAAACTAATCCTTCTATCTCCTTCAATATAACGTGTATCTTTACGAATATGACTAAATTCTCTAGTGGACAGTTAAAACAAATGGAAATTCAATACATTTCGACAAGAAAAGATACTAAAAGTAAGATATATCCTAATCAAAAAAGATTCCTTTGTATCCTGGAAAAAATAATTGTGGAACTCAATCTACCTATAGCCATGATAATTTATCAACCTAAAGTAGTAATTAATGCTTAATGTTAAATTACTGAATATATTCAAACTGATTTCTTTTATACAAAAATAAAGAATAATATTTATATTTATTTACGTAGATCTATTTACAATCCTTGTCACCTTGGAAACTGGGACAACTAAATTAAAATAACAATATTCATGTTTAACAAAATATCAAATGAGGAAATAACTCGAACGTTTTGACAGCATAAGTGGCAGACATATTACAGATTACGATTTGCCACGTACCGTTTGACTATGCTTGCTACGAATCGGGAGCGTTCGGCACGGCACGATGGAGGATGATTCATCCTCAAGAGAAAGTTGAAATGAAGATAAGGATAAAGATGAAAATGAAGATGAAGATGAAGATGAAGATGAAGATGAAGATGAAGATGAAGATGAAGATGAAGATGAAGATGAAGATGAAGATGAAGATGAAGATGAAGATGAAGATGAAGATGAAGATGAAGATGAAGATGAAGATGAAGATGAAGATGAAGATGAAGATGAAGATGAAGATGAAGATGAAGATGAAGATGAAGATGAAGATGAAGATGAAGATGAAGATGAAGATGAAGATGAAGATGAAGATGAAGATGAAGATGAAGATGAAGATGAAGATGAAGATGAAGATGAAGATGAAGATGAAGATGAAGATGAAGATGAAGATGAAGATGAAGATGAAGATGAAGATGAAGATGAAGATGAAGATGAAGATGAAGATGAAGATGAAGATGAAGATGAAGATGAAGATGAAGATGAAGATGAAGATGAAGATGAAGTTGAAGTTGGAAATTGAAACTTGAAGATTGGAGATTGGCAATATTGGATATATTGAGATTGATAATTGGAGATTGAAAATTGAAGATTAGATATTAAGGTGATTGGAGATTGGAGATTAGGAGTTTTAGACATTTGGAATTTTTTTAATTGGAGATTTAAGATTGAAGATTGGAGATTTGGAGGTTAGAGATTGGAGATTAGAGAAAATGGTGGGGATAGAGATGGATATGTAAATGTACGTAATTACATCTAAAACCCTTGAAAGAACTGTTATTACTGGAGATGGATATGGAGATGGAGATGGAGATGGATATGAATAATGGCGATTGGTGATTGGAGGTTGGAGATTGGAGACAGTGATGAAGATTGGAGATTGCAGATTTGGAGATTTAAAA